TCATTTATACCGGCCCAGTGAGCGATCCATGCCCTTATCCATAATGATCCTGATGTAGAGGACAATTTTTCGGCATCCCTCGCGGAGCCGCATACAGGTGTGTATGATATTGCTGGATCTGTATTCGAGAAATACAGGCGGCATGACGACACACTTTTTTGGTCTGAGTAATCAGAACACGGATCCTCTGTTGACAGCTGAAGACCAAGCTCCTCAGGAGGGGGACATGTCCCCCAGGTCACCCAAAAGAGTGACGGTACATGAGGATCCGCTACATATCGCTTCTCTTCCAGAGGATGACAACAGGGAGCTTCTCACTAAACAACTGTTCGTTTCCGACCTTGAGGAGGAGGAAATACCTTCCTGGAAAGACTTAATTGTCATGAAATGGCGTGAATGGACACGCAAAAGTCTCCCGGCTGACCAGCGAGAGTTTTTCCTAGGTAAATACTCTCCTCTTGAGCCAATAGTTTTTCTCAGAGCTCCTGCGTTAAATCAGGAATGTAGAGTAGCTCTGAAGAACAATACCATTGTAAAAAAGGATGATTTTGCGACCAAGAACCAAAATCAGGTGGGCATTGCTTTATGCGCATTGGGCGCTCTTTCGGACCTCCTCCGTCCGGTGACGCAAAATTCTTTAAGCTCGGAGACTCGGCTGACCATCTCCAAGGTCAATGATGGTGCTAAGTTGTTAGCAGACTTGTTCTATCGCCTGTCTCTCACAAGAAGAGCTCTAATCGTCCCCGCTTTTAACCTGACTGCCAAAAATACGGCAGACACCATTCCAATCGACGAACTTCTCTTTGGTTCGTCCTTTGGGGAACAAATTAAAAAGGTGGCTTCGATGGAAAAATTATCTAAGGATATTGTTAAAACACCAATAACAATCTCTAAGACAGTTCAACAGCCGATCAAACCATTAGCTCGAGCAGCATCATCCAGGGCGGGAAACGCCCGTGCCCCTGCGCGACAACCCAGAGCGGCGACAAGGAGAGCAGGGGCGACAACCAGCAGTCGCCGACCGCAATACCGCTCCAGATCCCGACCGAGGAGGCATTAGGAGGGAATATTGAGGTAAACTCTGTGGGTAGACTCCCTTTCTTTCTTCTTAGATGGAAGGAAATTACTTCAGACCCGCTAATTTTGCAAACTATAGCGGGCTACAGGATCCCATTTTTACAACAGCCACCACCACAAGAACAGGAACCTTCAGTCGCACTATCCGACTCACAAAGCCAAGTTTGTTCCCAAGAAATTAATAGACTCCTCGATAGAGGAGCTATTGAAGGGGTTACAAATTGTGCAGGCCAGTTCTTATCACCATTTTTCGTGATTAGAAAATCTTCAGAAGGATGGAGATTTATCCTTAATCTTAAGCGCCTCAATCAATTCATCTTCTATTATTTTATAATAAAATAAATAATATAAAGCAAATAGAGCCGTAGCTGTGGATCTCAGTGCTCAATCATTTATTTTACATTAACGCTTATAAATATGATCATTAACGCTTATGGATATGATTAAACGCTTATAAGTAGATATGATAAAACGTTTCGGCCATCTTCAGTGTAAAGAAAACGAATACAATTGAAAACGCAACTCGTAGAATGACAGTAGTATGTGAATTTCCATTAATTGGCCGTATTCGGATTGACAATCGAGACAAAAGACTTATCGTCTTTTTCTGAGTGTCAACGGATACACTTATTATAAATCTTTAAGTAATTATTAATTCTGTGATTTTATACATTTTTTAATTGCTCACAATATGACAACAATTGCTGAATTGAGGTCGACGTTCAATTACGTACGGACAAATAAATTCAGATTTCACACATTCTGTTGTTGAAAGACTTTAGAACGATTGCCGCGAGTAACGAAGGCGCAGTAGCAGTGTAACAAATGAATGCAGCGAACAGTTGATTAACCGTTCAGTGAGTAATGACGAAACTGTTGCAGAGCGCTGCAATTTTTGTAAATATAACAAGAAGTTTTGTAGCTCCAACAAAAAAACACTTAATCAGATCTTTATAGTAAAATTAACCAAACGGTGTAGCTATAAAATGTAAAATCTTGTTACGATAACCAGAAATTCTGTTTTGTTTAACAAAAATACACTCTATCAGAAGCGTTTTATTAATATGATAAAAACCATTTTTCTCAGTGCACCAAATTTTTAAATATTCTTTAATTGTATATTATATACATATATACGTAATATTATATAACTTTTCGTGCATAAATTATCACCACTTTGTGTATATCTAATATAAATTTTTGCTCTTGATTATCACATATTGATGTATAGCTAATCTTCCTTTTCATATATTCACGTGCGTAATTATGCTTGAATTCTTTTATAAGATCATGTGGCATTTTATCCAAAAATGCAGGTATGGACATTATCGCAGCTGTTAAAGTAATAAATAATTAAAATTAAAATTTTTAATGCTTCAATATACATAAATAATACAAAAAAATTTATGACGCAGATGATAAGTTTCTAATACTTACATAAAAAGTTGTCTGAATCTTTAGAGGAAAATGTCACATCTCGATGACTGCAATGATGAACTTTAAATCCAATACTTTTAACTAATTCTTTTACTTCTTTGCGAGGATTTTTTGAATACAAATACGGCGAAACATATCTTTGTACATCCTACGTAAATGTAAAAATAATAATTAGTAAATTATAACTAAAAAATTATAAACGAATACATTATAAATAATGAAATTTACCTCCATGTACGGTGCAAATAAAATATTTTGTGCCATTAGTTCGAAAACATGAAATGTATCATGAGATGCTACGAATAATGTAAGCATAGTTCCACCAGGTCGAAGCATGCGATAAATGTTTTCAAACGCTTGTCTGTTGAATGAAAAAGATAAATATAAATTATTTCTGAAGTACACATTTGTTATGATATTTGTTACGATATTTGTGAATTAAAATTGTGTGTCCGTATTATTATGCGAAAAACGTGCAAACGACGTATCAAGCAAAAGACGTTATTAAAACCAATTATTTCAAATTAAAAATTACACAGAAATTATTTATTTAGATCAGTTGTAAATTTTGTTAATAGAAATTTTTTATTCAATAAATGCCAAATTTTCCTTTAAGAAAAAAATTATATTTTTATAAGAAATTTATTAATTTATATCTGCTTAATAATCTTACTTACCGAATGTCTTTGCACCAATGCAAAGTGTGGAATGAAAAAATGTGGTCAAATTCCGATACATATTTCTCAGGCAAATTTTTAGTTTGGATATCTAATACTTCGAATCTAAGTCGTTTCTCATCGCTATATGTCATATTTGCATATTCGATCATGCTTTGTGAAATATCCGTACCTGCATGATATACAATAATCGGATTAACAATTAGTAATAATGCACGACAATTTGTTGTTGTATATAAACGATTTATTTGTTTACTTACCAATTATTACTGCATTTGAATCAAGAGATGACAAAAGAATATCATTCGTTATATCTCCTGGACCACAACCGATATCCATACATTTTCCGGACATTTTTATTAAATCATCAGCAAATTCATCAATTAAACGCGATACATTGTATTTTTGAAAATCGTCAGATGAAGCATAATCCTTTGGGTTTACCATATTTACAACTTTGTAACTTGCTTCACAACGTGGTAGGTCAGTGTTTCTGCGTATTCAATGTAACGTGCGTTCTCTGCGTCTCCTTATATATGTTGCAGTTTTTCTTGCAAAATTACCATTTTTGCATAATTGCTTTTTATGCAAAATAGCGTTTTTTTGCCAAAACCTTGATCATTCCTCATGAGGCTGATATTAATTAACATTTTACAAAAAGTTTTACATGCGTCATTTTAATTGCGTTATTTTAAGTACTTTATTTTAATGTATTAACAATACACGTTCTGCAATAATAAATGTTAATAAATTTTAATACAATATAATATATTATGTTTAATTATACAGGGTGTCCCAGACTTACCGTATCACCCGTTAATGGCAGATTCTTGAGGTCATTTGGAGACGATAATCTTAATACCAAAATGTAAAGACTACTATAGTATTTGAATGGGAAAGGCTTAAAGTTTACCAATCAACTTGTCAGAATTTTGCGAGCTCAGGAACAGTCTGCAATATCGAGAGCATTCTTTTAAAATAAAGAAATAGATAATGAAAAATTGATAGAATTAGTGCAACAACACATCGAATTATATGATTTTTTCCATCCAAAATAGTTTGATGGAATTTATAAAGAAAAAATTTATAAAGAAAAAAACTGTGGCAGAGTATTTCTCAAAAACTTGACCAACCAGGTAATTTTACTCATGATAAATATTATTTTACAAATAAATTTTTATATTTATTATAAACATTATTTTATTTGAAGAAAAAATGCACAATTCTCTTAAAAAATTTATACATATGTTGGAACTTGTTTTTGCTAACCGGTTCTCTTCATCTTGTATTGTATTATTTTCGTATTTTATTATCAATTAAATTGAGTAACACATTAAAGCATGTTCTGACATTCTAAAATATTAATAAAATTTAGTTGCATCATCAACCAATTCTTTATATGATGTAAAAAATTTACTTTCCTTTCCTTTCCTTTTTTCGTTTTGTCTTTGCTTTATGAACCCATAAAATCCGTTTTCTTTTTCTTTTTTTAAGATTTCTCTTCGTCTAAAAATAATGCTGTTACCGCTAATTTGTTTATCGATAGCTCTGCCATTCACTCTGCTGTTCACTCTGCCATTCACTCTGTCATTCACAGTCAGATGTATATCTCAAGGCTGATGTTTTAAAACATTCACGGATGCGATCCGGATATGTGTAAATACTCATATCCAATCTTGCCAGTACAGTACAGATACAGTACGGATACAGTACAGTACGGTACAGTACGGATACAGTACGGATATGTATAAACGGGCCTTAAGATAGAATAACTCTAGGATAAGTTGTTTAATTGTAAGAAGAAAGTTGTAAGAAATATTGTGATTTTACAACCCTGAGGGGAACAATGAACTATCATTCATTCATTCATTCATTTATATAATATATTTAATAATTAATACTATTATTGTTATGATAACAGATTATAAATAACGAATAAGACTGTTTTGTTCTTAATGATAAATAATAAAGAAGTCGCAGTTCTCGACAGGTAAAATATCGCCACGGTGAAGTTTTATTTGTTCTTTCTCAAAGTACGAATATAAACTATTGGTCCATTCGCCAACTGCGCGAATGTGCAACCACATATAATCTATGTAGAAATAATATTAACATTAAATGTAACATCGGCATACTGTTAATTAAATATATTTAAATAAAGATTTTTATTTTACCGTGTTAACACTTTTGCAACTGTTATATATTCAGCTCTATTATATTGAACTGATGTAATATCCGACATTTTATATTACACTATCTAATACAATGATGCAAAAAATAATAAATAATAAACGTAGAAGATTTTTTAATATTTGCTTTTATTTACTACCATCCCAGCAAACCATATAATGTATCATATGTGTATCTGTAATATTACGAATATTACAAGTAATATTATATGTACAGGTAAAAAATACATTCATGTATAGCTCTATGTCAGCAACTTTAGATATTACATATATGTATCAGATCTTTATATTATGTAATGTAGCATGTACATATATTTTACATATCTTAATATTGAATAATATAACATATACGTATATCATATATATTTTCAAACAAGTTTATAATATGTATGCTACACCTTTATTATAGTATACAGTTTTTGGAATTAGCTTGAATGCCTTTAATAACCTAAATGGTTATTTAACACAAAACGTCCTTGTTCTTGTTGAACTTTCTTGACATTATCAAATAATTTCTTAACGAACTTGTACGTAGATCTCAATCAAAGAACTCTATCGAATCTTCCTTTTTGATCAATTGCTATACACAAAATGGCCACTGATTGTCAAATTCTTGTGTCCGAGTGTAACGAAATTAGGGCAAATACGAACACTACGAGAATAAAAGTGAAGATGGCTGATTCAATGAGTATAATGACACGTGACTTGCGCATACGCGTTGCGAAACAAAATATTATATTGGTTACGTATTTGTAATAACATTACAAAGACGTATCTGTAAGATAAGATTTGTGATATTATTAAGAAATACAGAATGTTAATAAGTGATATGTATTTAATAAGTGATATGTATTAAGAGTAATACATACGCCATATTACCATTTAAGAGAAATGTTATAAGTCATATACATAATTATAAAAATATTATCTTTGTTCTCTAAATGTACCCTTGGATTTATGTAACAAATACATATTGATTTGCTGGAATGACTTAAGACTGCGCAAAAAGGTTAAACGTTTCATTAATCTTTTTGCGTGTACTATTAATCAAAGAGGCTGATTAATTAGTATTTTTATAAAAAGTCTGAAGTGCGTCTCATCAAGTGCGTTTCAGCCTAATAAAAAAATAATCATTTTTTTCGCAAAAATGCGTTGTTTTGCATATAAGCTTATTGCAAAAAGGCTAATTTCGCAAAAAAGACTATGACATATATAATTAGTAGGAGTGACGTCAATCTATAAAAATTGCTTATCAGAAGTTTTATCAAAAACACAATAAAGATATGATAATGAATATGCTATGTTGGAACGGAAACTTTAGTAGTGAGTAGAAAATTTAACACGTTCACTACATTTAAATTAATTTATTATATTTTAACACAAATAAAACTCCGTGCAACAGAATTACACAAGTAAGATTAATAACAACAAACGAATCGCGGATTAACGCTACAAAAGAAAAGAAATTTCTCGATTTCACGACCGGTAATGGATTTTCTTTCGCCCGTCTCTCTTTCGTTTTCGCGTGTCATTTTTCTCTCTCCGTCTGTTACGTGTGCTAGGTACGATTAGGACAATGTAAGTGTGAGATCCTCGCTATTATTTCGTTAAATTCATCAATCTGTATATGCAAGTGCATATCAATAACGTGCGTCGTAAAGTGCTACCGTACATATCACTTGTTTGAAATTAATCTGATTTCTCTTATTTCTAATATGCTAAATTCTGTGTTATGTATTGGTTTATTCATTTAGCTGTTAAAAACAATGAAAATGTGCTTAGCTCATTAGTGCATATTACGTTTTAAAGTTCCACTCATTAATGACTGCGGGAAAACAAATATATAAAACGAAAACAGTGAATTTTGACCAAACTCTTGGTCCGACTTGCAAATATACAAATCTGTGTACGCATTTTTTAAACCACAGAGTCGCAACATAATAATATTAACTCTTTGCCTTATGATAACGAGTTATATAAAAATAATTTCTGTTTCATAAATTAAATTGTTATTAAAAGTATCATAATACGTAGTACGTATCGTAGTATGTATCGTAGTTAAAAATGATACCGTAGAATGTTAAAATTATTTAAAAAGACTTAACTTTATGGATTTTAAAATCATTATAAAGATAGGCTCGTATGATAATATCAAATTAATATATATTAAAGAGCATCTCGAGCCATCGCTGGTTATTAGTGCGAAAATTATTAATGTATTTTATACAGAAATTTTAATTCCTCTATTAGAGACATTATTAAAGTATACATTGATCTCGGATTCGAAATATTAAAGTGTACACTGATCTCGGATTCGAGATACTACTTTACGGATTTTCATATTTCAATTCAGCCAAGTGGACCAAGAGCAGGGGCGCCCAACTAGTCGATCGCGATCAACCGATCGATTTATCGCGACGTGTTTTTTAATAGATCTTTACATTTTGATTTTTACTTTATTTAATTTTATTATAAAAGTTATGTTTCTAATTTTTATATTTATTTTGGTTGTATTAATTTCTTTATATTTTGACACTTTGTCTCTATTGATATTTCTGATAAATATTAAAATTATATTCTAATTTTATATTTAATATTATATTTTTTCCTCTGTACATAAATAGATCACGAGATTTTTCTATTAAAAAAACTAGCTCGCATGTATGAAAAGGTTGATCAGCACTGGTGTAGAGTCAGGGTGGAATGGATATATTCCGCGATATTGATTAATAAATTAATTTGTTTACTATTCATTGTTATTGTTCTCCTGCAGTCACTAATAACTTCAAAGCGTAATATGTACTGATAGCTGACTTGGATATGACAACTCGCTGCGCCCGAAATGCGACAATCATTTATAGAGGTGGATTTATAAAATCTTGGCAAACATTATAGCAAATTTTGTTCTTTATTTAGAACGTCCCTTCTAAAAAGTACTGACATGCCAACATCTATTTCTATTCTTATTTTTCTTGTTGAGAATTACGCAACACGAACTATATGTTAAGCAGCGTGACATAATGCGATATTTACGGTTTATTTCTCAAAGATGCGATTTCGAAACATAATAAAATTATAAAAAATTAAATATAAAAAAATTTACAATTTTTGTCGTTACAAAAGTTTTAAAATTTGTAAAAATAATAACAAGAAATGGGGTAAATTTAAAATATAACATTTTTAGAAAATGTAACTATACGGTTATAAAGCCGATAAAATACCATAAAACTTTTATTGGAAATATTTTTTATATTTCTTAAAATTTTGACGATATTCTCTTAAAACTAAATATTCTGCTTGAACTTGTAAAGGTTGTTTCAAATTAAATGTGTCTCATATTTTGAGCAATCGTATAACATATTCAAAGCTTGTCAAAATCGGAAGGGGACACTTTTCTTGTTAAATGCATAAACGTTGCGCGTACACGTAATACTTACATAGATCCTATAATACAGATGATTGATGACAACTCTTGCTTAGAATTAAAAGTATTATATCTCATTAAACATATTTATTAATTATAATTGCATTAAATATCATTTAAAATATTGGATTATTTAAAAATTAACAAGCAGTTATAGACAAAATTTTTTTCTCTATTTTAATTCATTATATTTAATGTATTTTAATTCGGGAAGACTCACCTGGCACTGGTAACGGTCCGAAAGTTTCACTAACCCACATTTGCCACTGAAAGCAAAACGTCTCAGACTGCTGGCCTAGTTATGCTTATTACTCATTTTGGTAAATATTTAGTCATTTCTGTTTGCACAATATGTTTTTATAATAGTTATTTTGATGTAGAGTATCAGTTTTTATTTGCTTTTCCGCTGTTTTTTGTAATTAAAAAAATTAAAACTAAAACATATCGTAGTCATAAGTAGTATTTAAGAATTTTATAAAAAAAAATAACAACATTACTATTTTATAAGGTGGATTATTATTTGTTGGGTTTAAGAGTATTTATTTTAATAATATAAGAAGCCTTACACGCGTCCGTCGTCACACAACAACTAGCGTTACCACACACAATAAAGAAGAAGACAAGTGAGAGAGGAGGGGAAGAATAAAACGAAAGAAACTCTAATACAACAGCCTATCGCTGCCCACTTTCTCACTTCACAGTCGCGCGAGAGTTTAAATTCTAAATTATTTCAACATTATTAATATAATACAATATCTTTAATAAAAAATATTTGTTTTATTCAATAAATTAGTTTATAAATTATATACATATAATTTAAATATAAGATATATTTGTACAGACACATTGTGTGTAAGATATATCCGTATTAATAAATAAATATTTAAATTTTAATAAATAATATAAATTATATATAAATAATATCTTTGAAAATATCTATATTACAGTCTTTATAACTTCACCCTTTGTAAAAAATTTAAAGATTTTTTTAAATCTAGGCTTGTTATAAATACATAAAATTTGTAAATATTCTCTAATCGTATATTACATACATATACAGTGGCGTTCAAAAGTTTTGGGCCAAACAATTTGATCACGTTATCTCCATCATATTTTACGGTAGAAATTTGATATCTTGAATTGTATCTTGTGTCTGTCGGACGTCGTACGTACTTTCTACCGCCACTTCCGAATAACTGAAACTTTGACTCGTCAGAAAAAAGTACTTTTCGCCAATCAACTTCAATCCAATGTTCATATTTTCTTGCCAAATCTAATCGAGCCTTTTTATTTTTTGTACTAATTAATGGGTTCTTAAGCTCGTCCTATAAGTCCCACTTCCTTCAGACGTTGAGATACTGTACTCCGACTAACATCAGCAAGATTTTCTTCTCGTATTTCTCGAGAAATATCCATAGCAGTTTTTCTAACATCTGCTATCGACTTTTTTTAAATCATTTTATCGACGCGCTTTGTAGTTTTACGAGGTCTACCGCTTCGTGATTTATCAGCTGGAGAGTTCGTCAACTTATATTTAGTAATAATCCTATTTACTGTACTTTTATCAATTAATAAGGAATTAGCAATTTCGCGAGAAATCTTTCTTTGTTGAGAAAGGTTAATTACGACTTCGCGTAACTAAAGGTTTGTGTGTTTCGGCATCGCGGTAGGCAATAGACTAAAATATAGGTAAAGCAAATGTGGTTTGTTTATATTTCTTATGAACCGCGCTTATAAAATCGCAACAAGAATATTGCCTAATATTTTTGAACGCAAATCAATATTATTTAAATAAATAAATAAAAAATATGTAATTTAAAAATTTTTTTTACTGCACTACTATTTGTATAATTGTTATGTCAATTATTTTACATGATTAATTTTTAGAGCAATTCAGTATCTTATAATAAATCTTAAAAAAACAATTTGGCTCAAAAATTTTGCACGCCACTGTATATCCAATATTATATAACTTTTCGAGCATAAACTATCAACACTTTGTATACATCTAATACAAATGTTTGCTCTTGATTATTACATATTGATGTATATTTAATCTTCCTTTTCATATATTCACGTGCGTAATTATCCTTGAATTCTTTTGCGAGATTATGTGGCATTTTATCCAAAAATGCGGATATGGACATTATCCCAGCTGTTAAAGTAATCAATAATTAAAATTAAAATTTTTAATGTATCAATATATAAATAATGCAAAAGATTTATAACACAGATGATAATTATGCATGAAATTTATAACTTTAGTAAGTTCTTAATAAGACTTACATAAAAACTTGTTTGAATCTTTAGCGGAAAATGTCGCTTCTCGATGACTGCAATGGGAAACTTCAAATCCAATATTTTTAAGTAACTCTTTTACTTCTTTGTGAGGATTTTTTGAATAAAAATACGGCGAAATACATCTTTTTATATCCTACGTAAAAATAATAATTAGTAACTTGTAGTTGAAAAATTAGAAACAAATACATTATATATAGTGATACTTACTTTCTTGTACGATGCAAAGTGGATATCTTGTGCCATTAGTTCAAAAACATTAAATGTATCATGAGATGTTACAAATAATGTAAGCATAGTTCCACCAGGTCGAAGCATGCGATAAATGTTTTCAAACACTTGTCTGTTGAATAAAGAAGATAAATGTAAATAATTTTTGAAGTATACATTTATTATAATATGTGTGAATTAAAATTGTGTTTATAGTATTATGTCAAATCACGCAAAAGACGTTGCTAAAACCAATTATTTCAAATTAAAAATTACACAGAAATTATTTACTTACAGGGGAGGACGCGGACTTCGGGTCACCGATTTCAAAGAAATTTTTATATGGTATAGTACTTTATCAGAAGAGTACTTGAGTAGAAGGATAGGGCGCAACGCTTAGCCGTTTTCAAGAAAAATCGATTTGAAGTTTATGGCGTCCCTTATATTCTGGTCCTGTTGGATCGGTTGTCGAGATGGCGGCGTAACTCGGGCACTTAGGCTCTAGGCTATCACGCTGTCGACCTGGGTTCGATCCCTGCCTATTTTACTTTTTTTTTCATTTATTTTATTTATTCTAGCAAATATTTATTCATTATATTATTATAATTAAATAAAATTATTTTAATTAACAATTTTGTTTTTTTTAATTTGCACTTTTACTACTATCATAATAAAAAAATAAAGTAAAAAAAACGTCTACGATTTAAATAATATTATAATTATTATTTAATACCAGAAATATTTTATTAATCATAATTTAATTTGATGTGTAGGAATATACGTTACAGAAGGGAAGTAGTCTGAAGGGGAGCTAAAAACTGTTAGCAGTTACCTGGTGTGAGAACATTAGGTATACAAATATTATGGTTGGAGCAATAAGTAACTCAACGAAGTTGAGTGAAAAATTACATACCAAATTAAATTATGATTAATAAAATATTTCTGGTATTAAATAATAATTATAATATTATTTAAATTGTAGACGTTTTTTTACTTTATTTTTTATATGATAGAAGTAGTGAAAGTGCAAATTAAAAAAAAAACAAAATTGTTAATTAATATAAATTTATTTCATTATAATAATATAATGAATAAATATTCGCTAGAATAAATAAAATAAATGAAAAAAAAGTATAATAGGCAGGGATCGAACCCAGGTCGACAGCGTGATAGACCAGAGTCTAAGTGCCCGAGCTACGCCGCCATCTCGGCAATCGATCCAACAGGACCGGAATATAAGGGACGCCATGAACTTCAAATCGATTTTTCTCGAAAACGGCTGAGCGTTGCGCCCTATCTTTTTACTAAAGTACTTTTCTGATAGAGTACTATACCATATAAAAATTTCTTTGAAATCAGTGACCCGAAGTCCGCGTCCTCCCCTCCACCAGTTGTAAATTTTGTTAATAGAAATTTTTTATTCAATAAATGCCAAATTTTTTTATAAGAAAAAAATTATATTTTTATAAGAAATTTATTAATTTATATCTGCTTAATAATTTTACTTACCGAATGTCTTTACACCAATGCAAAGTGTGAAATGAAAAAATGTGGTCAAATTCCGATACATATTTCTCAGGCAAATTTTTAGTTTGGATATCTAATATTTCGAATCCAAGTCGTTTCTCATCACTGTATGTCATATTTGCATATTCGATCATGCTTTGCGAAACATCCGTACCTACATGATATGCAATAATTGGATTAACAACAAGTAATAATGTATGACAATTTGTCATTATATATTAACAATTTATTTGTTTGCTTACCAATTATTACTGCATTTGGATCAAGAAATGGCAAAAGAAAATTCTTCGTTATATCTCCCGGACCACAACCGATGTCCATACATTTTCCGGACATTTTTATTAAATCATCAGCAAATTCGTCAATTAAATGTGATACATTGTATCTTTGAAGATTGTCAGATGAAGCATAATCCCTTGGGTTTACCATATCTACAACTTTAACAATTGCAACTTTGTAACTTGCTTCACAACTTGCTCGGTCAGTGTTTCTGTGTACTCAATGTAATGTGTCGCAGTATTTTCTGCGGCTCCTTATATATGTCAGTTTTTTTTGCGAAATTATCCTGTTTGCAATACGACTAATTTTTATGCAAAATAGCTTTTTTTTACAAAAACATTGATCTTTCTCATGAGACTGATGTTAAGTAACATTTTACAAAAAGTTTTAAATGTGTCAATTTAATTGCGTCATTGTAAGTGCTTTATTTTAATGTATTATCAACACGTTCTCCAATAATAAATGTTAATAAATATTCCTTACTGGACATACAAATCCGACATGTAATCACAAGTATGTATCACAGGTTGTTTATCGTTCTATAATGGAAATTATTTATCAAGAAGAATGCTCTGCGTACTTTGCCTTATTTGTTGACTAAACATTTTGACTTTTATAATACCGTTTTTTTATGAATTTTATTTGTAACGACACTGAAGAAGGCCTAACATAGACAGAAACGTTTGTAATTTTATAATTTTTACAATACAATTGAATTTTTGTGGCACAAACACTCAGCAACGGCTTTTTTGTCTTTTCTCCCGGATTATTTGTTAATTTATTGGAGCCTTAATATTATTATTAATTTAATAAATATTAATATAATATAATATATTTTATATAATTATATATATGTATAATATATTTAATAATGGAATGAAAGGCAATGGAAACGGAAGTCCCAACAGCGGCGATGTGTGTGTGTAGTCAAGAGAGGAGGAGGGTGAGCACCTGAAGCAGTCTCCGACTGCTGGCCTAGTTATGCTTATTACTCATTTTGGTAAATATTTAGTTATTTCTTTGTACAATATGTTTTTATATAGTTATTTTGATGTAGCGTGTCAGTTTTTATTTGCTTTCCCGCTATTTTTTGTAATTAAAAAAATTAAAACTAAAACATATCATAGTTATTAGTATTTAAGAATTTTATTGAAAAAAATAACAACATCACTATTTTATAAGGGGGATTATTATTAATATAATACAATATCTTTAATAAAAAATATTTGTTTTATTCAATAAATTAGTTTATTAATTATATACACATAATATAAATATAAGATGTATTTGTACAGACACATTGTAAGATATATCTGTATAATTAATAAATAAATATCTGTATAATTAATAAATAAATATTTCAATTTTAATAAATAACATAAATTATATATAAATAATATCTTTGAAAATATCTATATTACAGAGTCTTTATAACTTCACCCTTTGCAAAAAATTTAAAGATTTTTTAAAATCTAGGCTTGTTATAAATACATAAAATTTTTAAATATTCTCTAATCGAATATTACATACATATATATGCAATATTATATAACTTTTCGAGCATAAACTATCAACACTTTGTATACATCTAATACAAATGTTTGCTCTTGATTATTACATATTGATGTATATTTAATCTTCCTTTTCATATATTCACGTGCGTAATTATCCTTGAATTCCTTTGCGAGATTATGTGGCATCTTATCCAAAAATGCAGATATGGACATTATCCCAGCTGTTAAAATAATCAATAATTAAAATTAAAATTTTTAATGTATTAATATATAAATAATGCAAAAGATTTATAATACGGATAATAATTATGCATGAAATTTATAACTTTAGTAAGTTCTTAATAAGACTTACATAAAAATTTGTTTGAATCTTTAGCGGAAAATGTCGCTTCTCGATGACTGCAATGGGAAACTTCAAATCCAATATTTTTAAGTGACTCTTTTACTTCTTTGCGAGGATTTTTTGAATAAAAATACGGCGAAATACATCTTTTTACATCCTACGTAAAAATAATAATTAGTAATTTGTAGTTGAAAAATTATAAACAAATACATTATATATAATGATACTTACTTCCATGTATGATGCAAAGTGGATATCTTGTGCCATTAGTTCAAAAACATTAAATGTATCATGAGATGCTACAAATAATGTAAGCATAGTTCCACCAGGTCGAAGCATGCGATAAATGTTTTCAAACGCTTGTCTGTTGAATAAAGAAGATAAATGTAAATAATTTTTGAAATATACATTTATTATAATATTTGTGAATTAAAATTGTGTTCATATTATTATGTCAAATCAAGCAAAAACCGTTACTAAAATCAATTATTTCAAATTAAAAATTACACAGAAATTATTTATTTAGACCAGTTTTAAATTTTGTTAATAGAAATTTTTAATTCAATAAATACCAAATTTTCCTATAAGAAAAATTATATTTTTTATAAGAAATTTATTAATTTATATCTGCTTAATAATCTTACTTACCGAATGTTTTTGCACCAATGTAAAGTGTGAAATGAAAAAATGTGGTCAAATTCCGATACATATTTCTCAGGCAAATTTTTAGTTTGGATATCTAATACTTCGAATCCAAGTCGTTGCTCATCGCTATATGTCATATTTGCATATTCGATCATGCTTTGCGAAACATCCGTACCTACATGATATGCAATAATCGGATTAACAACAAGTAATAATGTATGACAATTTGTCATTATATATTAACAAT